GGCGCCGACGCCGCGGCGCTGCGCGGGCTTTGGGCGGCGTTCCTCCAGGTGGAAACTGCGATCCGGTTATACATATGCCCGTATTTTGCGCAGACGGTAACACATGCTGATGCAGATGCCTCCCGACATACCTAGCGCATGTCTATACACATGTGTGTACCTCATTTGTAAGCATCTTGCGGTCGTGTGTACGCGTACCCCACCTAAAGCGTGCGCAGATACCCTAATAACCTCATCTGCATGTCCGCCTCCGCATATATTTGTTGTTCTCCGGGCTGTATCTAGAAACACACGGATCTTCCTACGTATTTGTGCATGCACGGGAGTGCAGAAACCCCAGAATAATACGTCATCTCGATTTCCCGTAAAGACGCGTGCAGATTAGCTGTCGAAAAAAAGACGTGTTGGAAATTTCTTGTTCATTCATAAATTATTTTGGTGTGTCAGCCTAGTTGAAATGGCGATTGGCTACTCCTGCCTCCTGCCAACCCCTTAAGGATCCGATGTGAAATTAGTAGCAAGAAAGCATGTAATTGACCAAGTCACGTGTGCGCAGGGGGCCAGAAACGGAGCGAGAGAGAAGGGGAAAAATCAAAAGAGGGAAAGCACATTAGACCATGCGAGCTAAATTTGCGATCGTTCAAAATCAGGATGTTAGATTAATGCAGAAGACCACTTCGATCCACAGGGAAAGTTTTCATCTCACGAGTTTGGAGCAGAGGGCCCGTGGGGCAACATGGCCGAAGGTTAATTTTCTTTTTCTATTGTTTTACTATGATTTTCGCTCGCTCGCTCGCTCTCTCCCTCTCTCCCCCCCCCCCCCCCCCCACCCAACTATGCATTACCCTTTTTTAGCAGCTCGCGCAAGGGGGCTTTCTCCAAACCCATTGTTACCCAGCTCAGAAACTGTTCCGTACCGCCCACACCGATTCACAACTTGAAAAGCTTTCAGGGGGCTATTGTTTGAATTGTTCCTGTTTGATTAAGCACAGTTGCAGTGGTGGGATGAGAAAACGGCTGTACACCTGTCCCAACTTTAATCGAAAGTTTATTCCAAGGAGGGATGGATACACGTTGGAAAATAGTGGTTTCGGCGCTGCATGTGCAATAACCAGTCGTGCAATCTACCCAATTTTGCTTATTCTCTCTCCTCCACCCCTCCTCGGCCGGCCTCCCCCCTCGCCCCCCGGTCCTGCGCCTTGCGAGGAGAGACTAATTGGGCTGAGACTTTCTGTTGAGAAATGGGATCGGTCTTAAACCAGCAATATTCAAGTAAAGTATCGCGTTCCGTGCTGTAATGTGGCTGAAAGATGGAGTTAAATGGAAAAATACACGTATGTACAGAAACGTGGGCTGCCCTGGGCAAAGAGAGAGGGAGAGCCTCCGTACACAGTGTTTCCTCTCTGTAACCTCCGGTGATTTTATTTTTTTACGTATTTTGGGGAGAAGGTTGTTTATTTTAGGATTCAGGAAAAAATTATCTCTTTTCGCCGTTTGCTTTTTGAGTTTGTTGTGTTCGCCTTTTTTTCCTGTTTCTTCTATAGTAACTCCTTTATACAGTGGCAGAAGGATGTTACCAGAATTTAACTCTTTGCTTTGCATCATGTCCCCCCCTTCCTTCT